CCTAAGCCCCAGACTCAGACACCAAATCCTTCGGCAGGTGGACTGGGCCCTGAGGATAATGTAGGAACCTTATTAAGAAATCTTGGGTCTTCATTATTATTGGGTCTCCTTTTTCGAGTCCTGATATTTTGGGGTTTTAGGGCCAGGGTTTCTTCATCAAGTTCCTAGATTACTAGAACCACGAGCCACAAGAGCGACGCCAAGCCTTGGCTCTAAGTCTACGTCCTCAACTCAAGCCCCGAGTAACACCTCAGTGGAAACTCTAGCCCTTGGTTAGGGCTGTTACTTAGGGTTGTTAGGGCTGTTAGGGCTGTTAGGGTTGTCAGGGTTGTTACGGTTGTTAGGGTTGCTAGGGTTGTTAGGTTTTAGGGTTTAGGGTGTTTCTCCGAAGCTTGAAGCACGGCTGCTGCAAGGCAACCAGACATCTACGATCTCAGGCCGGCACCGGACCACTTTATTTCAGGGCTCAGCCCTCTTGGCCCAGTACTTGATATAGGAATTGTCAAGGTTTAGCCTTCCTCAAAGTGTAGGCAAGCCCGACGATGACTTAAGCTACGTCAGTTGAGGGCGAGTCCTGAACCTTCCGCCCGAAACTGTACCCGTATGGGCCATATGGCGGTGGCGCCAAGCCTACAAGCTCAAACCCGACAAAACGAATTCCAGTCTGGGTTCGACTGGCTTTCGCGAGAAGGAGATGCCATGCATTTCCTTCCGAATGTCGCCACTTCCGCTAAGCTAGCTATATAGTATGTTCAGGTTTTATAGTAGGGTTCGAGTATATAGTTTGGGAACACCCTCAACCTCAAACCCTCAACCCATCTCAGCCCACAGGCAGGGCTGCAGATCGTGGTTGATTGGAGTTTAGGGGCTGGGTTTAGGGTTTCAGGCAGTGACACAATGCTAATTGGCTCAGATCCAGATCGCAATTTAAAGAACGGCCTCCACCCGATGTTTATCGGTTCACAGTAAAACGAGCTCAGCTCCAGACGTTGTATTGTATCAGCTACGCTCCTGCAAAAAACCAAATTCAAACTCTGCCCCTGTGTCACGGCAAGGCCGTCTCAAGCCATACATTGAGCAACGTGTAATGACGTCAAAACATGGTCACCAAAACCCTCCACCCAGGTGGTAGTTGTCAGATACCTAGGCTCAAAACGAAAAGATGGTCTCAATGCCTACATACACCCTAAATCTGAAACCTATACCCTGAACCACAAACCTGAAACCCTGAGTTCTAAAACCCGTAGACCTGGACCCCAACTACCTTCTGATATGGGGGGGGGTCCTGGGTTAACCCCTATTCTAATTATTGAGGCCGGTACATGACAGTACCCTTACAGATCCCTGTAAAGGAGCCCCATACAATTTCTTCAGGCCCCAACAGTTCCTGGTAGATAGAAAGCACCCTTTATTTGGGGGTCCGTAAGCTCTTCAAGCCTGCAAACAAAAAACGCACTCGATCACACTCGAATCGCCGGACATCTGCTTTTCCCTGGTCAGCCAGCCTGTGTTTTCGGTTTAGGGTTTCGGGCAACCCTAAACCCTGAACCTTAATTTTCCAAGTATCCCAACAGCGAGGCTCTAGGATACTACAGCATAGTGCAGCAAATTGGGGTGCAAAGCACGTCGACACGCGAACAAGAAAAGCAAGATTCACCGGTGTATGCACATGTCTGTATGTGTAAACAGTACAACGTATACAATCGTAGACACATTTCTTAGCACAGCGTGATCTTGCTGTGACGAAGATTTGAATTCAGGCGATTGAAGGCAATGATGCCCGCCTCGCTGACCTCGAAACAGGCCCGTTCACCGGGAAACTGGTCCCTCTCGGTTGCCAGCCGGCGGCTTTGGGCATGCTTCCCATCGCAAAGGTCGAGGGAACCACAGGGCACAGTGGCCGTGAAGTGGGTTGAGAAAGCTATGCTGCGAACCCTCAACATGGAGTCCGGGCTGGGGTTTAGGAATTTAGGGCTTTAGGGTTTGAGGGTTTAGGGGTTTAGGGTTTAGGGGTAGCTCCAACACTTCAGTGGTCGAGCGAGCGGAACTTGCAAAGGGCCCGGCGCGAGCAAAGTTTCCGCAAGGTCCTCGATAGACTTTGCTGGTGCTGTGTGTTTGATCGTTGTTTCGCCCTCTATATGTCTTGTTTGTTTGCCGGTGTATGACATAGCTTTCAAGTGTGTGTCTTTGTCATTCTATGCTCAAGTTTCAGTTTCGATCTGGCAAAAACTCTGACGGCCTGCTGGCCTTTCTCATAGTTGGATAACATTTTACATGTTTATGAATACGTAAGCCCCAAATCAAAGGATTAAACATGTAAATTTGCGATACTATCCCAACCATAAACTAGTATTACTATACTACTCCTTAAACCCTAGACCCTAAACCCGAATACTATCCTAACCATGAACCTCTTCGAGCTTCTTGAGCCCATGTGGACCGGATTGCTCCTCTCGACCGAAATACATAGGGGTTTAAGTAATTGCCAATACTATGTTGGGGGGGGGGGTTCTTGTTAATAGTTATAGTAGAGTATAATATGGCCCAGAACCCCTCTTCTAATTATTAAGGCTCCTATAATACTACGGTCGCTCTTGTCTCCTGAGAGAGTCAGCACGTTTCAACTAGTTCGTTCAAAGCGTCAAACTACACGCCCCATCCTAAAAATAACGGCGGAAGCAGTGCAAGGTGACCGAACTGGTCGTCGACGATCCTGACTCTGCCCAAAGCTCAAGCTTGTCTTCATTTCGTTTCGGCAGTTTAGTGTGTCGGGCTGAAGGTTTGGCTTAAGGGGTTAAGCCTGTAATGTTTCACGGTTCATTTTTGCATTTTGGGCATTCAGGATTTGAGGGTTAGGCAGCTCAGGGTTATGGGGGGTTGGTCGGGTTCTGCTGCAGTTTATTGTTTGATTCCTTGTTGTGCGTCACGTTGGGGATCTATTGAACTGCTACGTCAGTTTGTTTGCATAGCATCCACACGTCCAAAGCTCCATTGCGGTTTGGCTTCGGTGCTGAAGGTGTTGTGTTTTACTGTATGTTATAGAATGTGCCCAAACCCCGTTTCTCAGTTGTTATGACATATGGGTAGTTCTCTAAATTAGGGTCCCTTTCAGGATCCTTTTATAATTTATCGTGACGTCCCATATAGTACATGCTCGATTATCGGAGTCAGGGTTTGGGATGTGAAAGTCGAAGATCCAAGAAAGTTGTTTTTTTTGATTCTGTGACTGGCTCACCATGCTTACGCTAGCTAAACCCCAATGATTCCAAGGCCCCAAATGTTAAGGACGTATAGGCCAAGAATTATGCGGGTTTTGAAGACCCCAACCGGGGTGTAACAAATCTTCGGCCCCAAAAAGCATCTACAATGAACCGTGAAGGCCAAGGTGTATGCTAACTACCACGGGCTCTTACGTAAGTTTAAAGGCCCTAGCCTTAGCCTGAAATCCCGTGGGCTTTGCAACCTTTGCAGGCCAAACTACATAGCCCTAAGGGTCCATGTACCCATATACTAGATACTTTGGCCCTAAAGTACCTATATAGAGACTACTTTACGGCCCATGTATATACTATATAGGTGCATGGACCCTTAGGGTAGCAAAAGGGGTATCCTAGAACAACGGCCAAATCGTGCTCACTGCAACCCAAGGTCGCTATCTTGAGGCTCTAGAAGCACGACCTCATGTGGGTAGTTGTCAAAATGATGGTCCCTTTTTGGGTATTTAAGGACCTTAATTTTGACAACCACCCATGTGAAGTCTAGACCCTAAGCATCCCTAAGCCCCAAACCCTCAACTTTATACCCCAAATAACCCTAAAACCCCCTTGCAGCGAAGGTTGTGGGCCTCCACCTAGGGCCTGCTGGCTATCTGGATCTGAAGGTGCGCCGTTTAAGGTTTAGGCTTTGCGATTTAGGGCTTAGGACCCCTAGGGCTTAATGTAGGTTTTATACGGCTGCGGGTGCCGGAGTGAGTGGACGAGGGCTGCGACGTTCAGGTGCTTGGTGGGAGCGATGCAGTCTATCAGTTCAAAACTCCCATAAACCCTGACCCCTGAACCGATAAATTCCGCATTGACCACTCTCCTTCTGTTGGGCATCTCAAGAACACGCACACAATAGCAAGCACTGTTTCGGTTTCCATCTTCGCATTTCCAATTTAGGTCTTGAGTTTAGAGTTTCGGGGTCGGGTCTGGGTTTGGAGGTTTACCAACTGATTTTTATCTGCCATGGGAATCGGCTCAAATGAACAGGCTCTAGGACCCAGAGTAGGCCCTTATTCCCTTTTTTGGGGTTCAGGTTCCCTTATAAGCCCCTTTAAACCAAAAAGGGCACCCTTTTTATTGCTAGGATACTCTTGGGTCTAGTTTATCTGCCATGGGAATCGGCTCAAATTAACAGGCTCCAGTGTCAGCCATCGACAATGAAAACAACCAGTAAGGGAGACGGCAACATCATCGTAAGGGCCTGAATAAACTAGCAGCATTATTTCTTGGGGGTCCTTAATACAGTCACAGAAAATGTACATCCAAAGCCCTATGAAAATTATCAAAGCCGCTCTGTTACGCGTTGTCATTTCCGCTTCAACCGGCGGGTCAACCTCATCGTCGACCAATCATCTTCTCCTCCACTCATGAGCCCGTCATCCCAGAACCTCGAACCTACCCATGGCCCAAACCATATCGTCAATAATATGTTGATACAGTGGTCGGAGCAATCGTCAACACTATTCTCCAGGGTTCCTTATCGTACTCATACTGCCATAGTCCCCAAAGCCACGGCTTCAGCCGACTCAGACAGACTTTTAAGGCGGGGCTTAGCGCGTCTTAGGGTCTTGGGTTTCAAAAGGTTTAAGGTGCTACGGTCTAGGGTTCAGGCGAAGTTCCAAAAAATCAACGTTTGAGCTGCAGGGTTAAACAGTAACAGGCATCTCCCGACACAGCCGTAAAACCTCAGCTTTCGGTTTTCAACGCTCATAAAGATCAAAGTGCAGCCGTGTAGCCATGGTGCGCCATCGCCACCGCCGGAGCCTCGTCTATGGAGCTGCAGCTGTGGCTGCCACATGTGCTGCTGCCCCTGCTGCGGTGATGACCATGCACTCGCTCGTAACTTGGGTCTGCTGATGAAGCTTTATCCCTAAAGGTCCTAAGTACCTGTATTATATATAGTAGTAGTATGTAGGGTGTCCATAAAATAACAGGAATTGCCATCACGCTTTGGGGAATTATCCCCCATAACGGTATTGGGAAGTTAATGAAACCAAAAGCTTTCGCGACCCCATTTCAGGCCTGGGACTCTACGGGGATCCCTTGAGTCTTGTGAACCTTGCTTGAAGAAGCGTAAGTAGTCGGTGCCGAAAAAGCTTGAGATCCGTGGCCCTGACGTAACTAGAGCAACGGCCCCTTGAAGGCTACAGCATAAGCTAATACCTTGGGGGGCCAAATGACCCTCGTAAGTAGGGGCTCATCAGAGCCCTATGCCTTTCTACTGGTGCCAGAAGAACTAGCCACATGGACGCTACGTCGACTCAAGTCTCCCTCAAGAGGCTCTTTGGTTCAGGAACCTAGGGTTTGGGGTTTAGGGTTTTGGGCACTTGAGGTTGGTGTGGGGTTCAAAAACCGACGTACACCTAGGATTTACTGCATGCCGCCCCTCATCCTACGGTCCTACGGGTCCACAGGACGCAATACCTCGGTACTTGGGTTTCGGACATGTAGTATCATTGTAGGTTAGCGATTGGGGAAGTATATCCATGATAACTGGATATTTGGGTGCTTATGGTCAAAAAGCCCCCGGCTCAGCACGAGCAAAGCCCATATAACTGGACACCTAGAACATTTTTGAAACCTGAAAAATCTAAGTATCCAATCGCCGTACATCTAGGCCCCCTAGGTAACGCACAAGATTTCCTACGAATGGTTTCATATAGCATACAAACATGTATATATCTATGTATTCATATATGCGGTTTCCAGAACAAGTCTTTATGACCAAAACTATATGCTTCGTGAGTATTTGGCCGCCTATACCCCGAACCCTGATGGTACAGGTATAGACTCTAGTATAGACTCTTGAGAGGAACCCTCAAGCCCTAAACTACTTATAACCCTAGTTACTAAGTCCCATGATCCTTTAAGTAGAGTTTAGGCCCTAAACTCTACTTAAAGGATCATGGGACTTAGTAACTAGGGTTATAAGTAGGGTAACTATACCTCTAACCCCAATTAAGGTACTTATAACCTTACTTACTAAGTCCCATGATCCTTCAAGTACCTGGAGATCCAAGAACCTACTGCTCTATGGGTTGTTCTTTCCATAATAAACAGGTCATGACCTTCTGTTTTGTAGGGTTTGGGCCTGCAGGTAATTAAACCACAAGGTTTGCAGTGCCTTAATTAATATCCTACATCTGAAACCCTGAACCATCGCTACAGTAAGCCCTCAACCAAGCCATTCCCTAGGCTCCATGCGCACATTTAGTATATGTGTAGGCCTTGGAAGGGTTCTTATGCAGGAACTTTATGAGGCCTATGGAGAAGTGTATGTGTATATATATATATATACACATATAAATAAATAAATAGATAAATGTTTATATATGTATATATGCAAATATTTACTCGTTTATTTATGTTTACGATGTAGATACATGGAGCGTTGTAGAAACCTCAAACCCCAAACTTCATAGTATCCTTCACAGAACCGCTTAAAGGAACCCTTCTATGTACACGGAGCTTAGGGTCAGCCACCCAGGTGAATCAAGGCCGCGGCGACTGTGGGCTTGCATGGCAGCTTCTGGGAGGGCGATTTCGGGCTAAGGTTTAGGGGTTTGGGGGTTCAGGCGCAGGTTAGGGGTTTGGGGTGTTTAGGGTTTGGGGGTTCAGGGGCTAGGCGTTAGAAGGGTTTGGGGGTTAAGTGTAGGGCTGGATGTGTTCTGTTTGTTCAGGCTGTTGCTGTATTGTGTAGTTTCGTCCTGCTCCCTTCAGATGGAGACCTGGATCTTTTTTGACTATCCGTCTCTTGTACCGGAATGTGTGTTGTTCTCTTCTTTTCCCAGAGGGTCCGTATGTGTATAATCTGAGTTTTTAATTTATGTATGTGTGTATATGTATATATATATATATATATATATATATATATACATATATATATATACATATAAACACATACATACATGTCTGTGTATAAGAGTATATACGATTTTTTGTATATGTATATCTATATACATATATATATATACAAATGAATATTTCTGTTTTTTATTTGTGTAGATAGATAGATTGTTGGACCCTTAGGGTTTGTTAGCCCTGATCCTTCTGCAGGTGCACCGTCTCTAGCCGCCCTTACTCTTGGTCTGCTCCTCTACGCTCCTCGGATGCTGCTGGCATCTTTGTCGCGTCTCTTCGAGGTTTTGGGGGCTTCCATGTACCTTTGAGTAGTTAACAGAGGCCCTCAGGGTCCATGTACCTAAATAGGCGCTCCTCCAAAAGATCCCTTAAGGGATCCATTTACGGGATCCTTTTCGGGTTCCTATAAGGGTTCAGGGTTTAGGGTGTAAGGGTCCATGTACTTATGAAGTATATACATGGGCCTTGAAGTAGTCCCTATATAGGACTTTGGGGCCGATTTATCTAGTATATGGGTACATAGACCCTAAGGGTAAGGTTTCAAGCCAATGGCTGTCGTTGTATGCTTTTGTGCAGACTGGTGCGTTTGGGGTCAGTGCTAGGTGTTTCTAGGGGGCTTTGTTATTGGGGTTTTGAATTTTGCCTGCCCGGAAAAATCTTGCTTGCTCCGGCCGTCCAAATAAGAACCCCTGAACCGTAAACCCTCCCTGGATGTGGGTCTGCGGAATCTGGGAGCCTTTGCTGAAACCAAAGTCATCTTTCAAACCGTTGATCCACGGTTGTCCACCCTATGAACACGCTTCACCCACCCAACCCCAACCCCCCCGCTCCGAAACGCTAAACCCGCTATGACCCTAATCCTAAAGACAAGAACTTGTAAACCCGAAATGCCTAGACTCTCCCATAAAAAACCCAAGCAGACCCTTGAATCAAAGCGAAGGCTTTCTCGCGCGAGGGCAGCAGCCTTCCGATTCTGCTGGTCTTCTTTGGTGCGCAGACAGGGATGAGCTTGGGCTGATCTGTTTGGAGGTTAGCGGTTTAGGGTTTAATATAGGATCCTTAGATAATAATAGTTCCCTGTACGATTTAGGGGGTTCCTTAGTATAATTGTAATAGAATCGGCCTCAACACCCCATTCGGAATTTTTAAGGCCCCTATATTGAGGTTTCTACATAGTTCATGGTTTCGGGGCTTAGGATTCGATTAGGATCGCCGGCTTGGTTGGTGTGTTCGGGAGACGCTGGGCACAGCCCTACAAGGGTCCTCAGTACTTATATGGGGGATACTTGCGCAAGCCACAGTACAGTAGTATTTCGTACTAAAGCAACCCCCTTAGTTTCTACTATGTAGGTACTTACTTCCCTTAAGGGTTCCTTTAAAGGAAGCCTTTAAACGAACCCTACCTACTCGTTCCTATATAGGTATTTGGGACCCTTTGGCAAGCAAGCCCAAAGACCCCGTAGCTGCCCATAACAGACGGTCGCCGATGCCAAGAGCTTCCAAAGCTCAGGCCGTGAGGTTACGGCTCCATGTGCCTTGAAAGGGGTTCCTTTAAGGGTTCCTTGAGGGGACCATAAGGGGTTGACGGTTAGGGGTATAATGATCATAGCGCCTATCTAGTATATATATATATATATTTATATATATATATATATATATATATATACTTTGGTTGTTCCTATCAAGGTACTTCAAGGCCTAAGTTAAGTATACACGATACAGGCTCATGAACCTTGGGGAGGATTTGTGGGCCCATGATGAGTAGCTTTGGCCCACGATCCCAGGAACCTGTACGTGAAGACGGTGCTTTCGCAGCTGGTGTTGGATGAGGACCACGAGCTCTAGCAGGGAGGAGTCCAAAATCCATCAAAATCCCGGCCCAGAGGTACCAGAAGACTGCCAAAAGAGTTCTATACGGGCACCAAGTTTTTATATACCGGCACCATAAGGGTTTGGGGTGTAAGTGCTGCAAGGATTTATGTGAAATGGTCGGGCTTTGGCTCCCAAATGCCAAACTTTGACTGGTATTTCTGAATCTGAAACCCTACTTGGAGGATCATGGGACTTAGTAAGTAAGGTTATAAGTACCCTAATTGGGGTTATAAGTATAGTTACCCTAATTATATCCCTAGTTACGAAGTTACTAAGTCCCATGATCCTTTAAGTACTATTTGGGCACTTGGATCGCTAGGGCGAGGTTTTTCGTCAGCTCCAGCATACGGCCGGCCGATCACATTCTTCAACAACCCGTATCGTGATATGGGAGTTTCCGAAAATTAGGGTACCTTATTTGGGGTCCTTATAATAAGGATCCTGCTATTTAGGGTACTATATTAGGGTCCCCTATTTTCGGAAACTCCCATATGTCTTCCTACATCCTGACACCGAATCTCCAAAATTGCAGGAGGTTGCCGTGCAGATGTCGGTAAGTACAAATACGTAGCATTCCCTTCTACTTCCGAATATGTTCTATGCTGCTATACTTCATCCCGCAGCCCTACCCTGGTCATAAAGGCCCTAAGGCTCCACGTGCCCATATAGTAGGTACTTGGGCCTTAAAGGGGTCCCTATATAGGCACTTTGAGGCCTAAGTACCTACTATATGGGTACATGGAGCCTTTGGGAAAGGCCCCGTCCATATCACGCGTCCTGTTTGTTGTGCATGGCTGTACGGCCAGCAACTACATCGAAGCTTTGTCCCTCATTTTGAATATCATAGGGGTCGGAATAGTTGATCGCACTTTATGCTACCAGAACTGTTTGTACTACTTCCCTTTATAGTTCCTGTCTAATTGCATTATCATTGTCAAGGCCCCTATCGGCCCCAATTTTGACAGCTATGTTGCCTTTTGCATTAAGTGGTTGAACCCAGAAATCCCGGTGCCTAAATAATTGCCAATGCTATGTTTGGGGTTCCTTGGTATATTTATAGTAGAATGGGCCCCAAAACCCTGTTCTAATTACTGTTGATGATATAAACCCTGCATTACCTTCAGGATCCTAAACTGTGAGAATTATGGCGTACTCCTTATTTTGGGTAATGCCGGGTTTATATCATCAGCTGTATTAAGACCCCTATATTGCTGACAGCAGGGCTTCGGGCCTGGTGTTGATGGGTTCTTGCGCTTCCGGCTAGGATTTGAGGCGTTTGGGAGTTTAGGGATCAGCCAAACCCTATGAGCCGTGGGCTTTGGGGTTTATACATATATATATATATATATATATAGCATAACTTCGAGTGTGAGGCTTTAGGGCCGGGAGGTTCAAGCCTAAACCCTAAACCTTTGGCTACAGGACCGAGGATTACGAGGTGTACCCATCGGCTTCCTCATGACCGCCATCCAGCAGCTGGCGGGGTTTACAATAGGGGCCTAAAGAGGTGGTTGTCAAAGTTATGATCCCTTTTTGGCTACCCTAAATATCAGGTGCCGTAGTATATAAGGGACCCAAAAATAAAAGGGGCTATACTTTTGGCAGCCACCCATATAATTACCAATCCTATAGTGGGGGGTTTCTCATTATAAATATAGTATAACGGGCCCCCAAGCCCCATTCTAACTATTTCAGGCCCCTATATTAGGGTTGAACGTAGGGCTCTGGGCGAAGATTACACCTGCTCCCCTTCCTTACGTGTAGCTGCAAGGACCCTAGGGGTTCATTAAGGCAAACTCGGGAGGTACAGCAAAGCCATATGAAGCCTAAGCGGAACCCTTGAAAACCCTAACTCGCACCCTAAACCCTAATCATTGACCTGTACAAATCGGGGAGGTGGCATTCCTCGCGTTCTGCTGCTTCCTGGCGCTCGGGAGGCTTGTCGGATCTCCCTACGAGGTGCCTCGGGTTAGGGTTTAGCGTTGTTCAATGGTTTCCCTCGGTTTCGGGGTTTTAGGGTTGTAATTAGGGTCCAGGGTTGAGTCCAGTAGTAGAGTACATACTCGGGCCTTAACCCTATTCGTGCATAGGTGCCCTTTAATTCGGTGGTTTGGTGTTTTGTGTGTGTTACGGCCACCCTGAAAGAACCCTAAATAGCAGTATCCTTCAGATAAAGGCACCGGAAACAGAGCCCGTTGCATTTAGAATCCGCAGCCATGAGGTCAAAAAGCTGACAAGCAGCCGGGAGCGTGTCGCGGTGCTTTGCTTCAGCGCTGCTTTTGCTCCTCGGTCCCGATCTTGTTCCTCAAGGTCCCCCTAAGCCCTGATTCCCTTAATCCCGAATCCCGTTCAGGGTTCAGCCCAGCTAAGGGTCCCTTCTGGGTCTACCTTTATATACACTTCTGTGCAGTTATATGTATTTGCTCAGTCTTTCTGTGTTCAATTAGTGATAGAAATCTCGCAACCTCGAGCATAGCGGCCAAGAAGGGTCGTCCTTAATAAGCTACTGAGCGAAGGATCTCAACCTGAAGCCCTGTGCCCCGGACTAAACCCATAAAGCCCTACTATGAAGGGCTGCATATTCTCTTAAGAGTAAGAGCCCTTTTCGGAACTGCCTTTTTAGTAAGCATCCTTTTCGGAACCCTTCAAGCGACATGATGCGACCCTTAGAGTCTTAGAGGCACCCGCAGCCCTAAATCCTAAAGCCCAAAGCTGCAGACAGGCTCTGAATATCGGACTCAACAACTTCAGCCAAACCATGCTAAGCCTGTCGGTGAATCTCATCATCAGGCCTTCGGGGGCTTAGGGCTTACTAGGATGCCCAGTACTTGGAGGATCATGGGACTTAGTAACTAGGGTTATAAATAAGGTAACTATACTTATAACTCCAATCAGGGTACTTATAACCTTACTAAGTCCCATGATCCTGCAAGTACTAATCTTATTCCATTGTTGTAGTCTTAGGTTCCTTATAAGGTTACCCACTACCAAAAAGGGAGCCCGTTTCATTTTATTCTTAGGGTTCTGGGCATCCTAGCTTAGGTTTCCTTAAAGTGTTCCTGGCAGAATTCTATAAAGGGTTCGTCAGGGTTTTGTGTCGTAGGGCCTTAGGATTTGGGGATTTAGGGCTTACAGGCCTACGGGTTTAGAAAGTTTTGGGTTTAGGGTTGTAGTCTTCAGGACTTTATGGCCTCATTGCTTTGGCATTTAGGGTTGGGCATCCCCCAAATGCTCAACAACTCCTAACCAATGGTCCGGTCGAAGACTTTGTAGCACTATGCCCTTATAGCCCCTGTATGATTACCTTATTCTCATCGTTAAGGCCCACATCTTGCAGAAATCCCTGCTGAACCGCTTGTGCCAGGTCCGCATTCCCCAGCAAGAGAAAGACGTAGCCTGGAATCGCTTAACTTGAAGCTGGCTGTGGCTGTCAGTATCCGTCGTGTAACCCAAAGGCCGAAAGGGTCCAAGTATCATTCTGGTGTATACTTATAGGGTATTTTAGGGGTCTAAGTGTATACCATAATGATACTTGGGCCCTTTGGGTAAGGGCCCACAGACCATACAATACAAGGGCTTCTAGGCTAGGTTGAGATTCATGCCTCATCGAACTCCCCGAGAGCCTCATACCCCTTAATTAAGGAATATAGATCAAACATGAGGGGATGCATATTATGATTTAGGCTATATTCCTCAACTGAGGGGGTATATTAATTGGGCTAACTGGGCTAAACGCCGAGTATGAACCGGGAGACTACCCAAAGAGTCCAAGTATCATTATAGTAGGTAGTTTGGCCCCCAAAGTCTACCATCACTTGGACCCTTTGGGCTATGTCCTGGTCTTGCCTGCCCTATATACTTTCCAAAATCCTAACCTACATAACTACGATGCCAAACCCGACTACCTAACTGTGGAGTCCTTTGGACCCTTGGGGCAGGTTATAAGTAGAGTTATAAGTACCCCAAATGGAGTTACCCCAATTATAACCCTACTTATAACCTACTTACTAAGTCCCCTGCCCTTCCAAGTTGGGGCAGGTCTTGCCTGCCCTTGTCCACAGCAGTCTCCGAGCTGGCTCTGGGTTCGCTGGTCCAGCGGCCAGGACTCACCGGGCTCCAGCCGCGGTCTTGGACCGGGCCGTATAGGGGTTTGGAGTTTAGGGTTTATAGGGCTTATAGGGTTTATGGGGTTTCGGGTTTATGGGGTTTCGGGTTTAGGGTTTATGGGGTTTCGGATTTACGGTTTAGGCATAGGGTTTGAGTTCGTTACAGCACTCAATGAGTTAACCCTTATAAGACGTAAACCCCAGGATAGCGCATATAGACGGCACAGGCTCAGATGCCCCAACACCAATTTTTAATTATTCAGGCCACTAAATGAGGCGGATTGGCCTAGGGCCAAAGCCTGAAATCATACAGGGACCCGAGTATTAGTACGCGTCGTTAGGGCTCCCAACATACAGCCATGTAACTACGCTGTTATGAACCCTGAAGCCCTGTTCTGCGCATGAAGGCCTCTGGTTTACTTGAACCACCTGAAAACCGCACTTTTTTCCGATTTTTAGAAGGTAATCATGATAAGGAGCCACTAAACAGGTAGGTTCTTGAGGGTCCAGGAAATCAGGATCGAGGGTCCGAGGCCGTGTCCTGAGCAGAATAATGGTATCACACTGATCGAAGCAGACTGCACACATGACGTATGTACCTGTTTACAATATGTTATGTTTCTTGTTTTCCTCCATGCATATCTACCTCTCTCTCTCTCTCTCTCTCCCAAAGGGACCAAGTAATGGTATGGTATATACTTTGGGGCCAAAATACCTACTATAATGGTGCTTGGACCCTTTGGGTCACGATTCTTCTGGGAACTTGTACGCTCCTGTCCAGGAACCACGTAGCTGCTCCCACATACTCTAGAAGCCAAGGATGCGCATCGCCTGACGGAGCCCTAACTTGTAGGTTTTGTAGGGTTCAGGTATGGCTTTGTTAAGAACCCGTAGGGTGCAAGTACCTACTGGTCCAATAGCAGGGCCTCAGGTAACGGTCCATCTTAGGTAATTATAATATATACCAGCGTAGAACCCTACATTTTGATACATGGACCTTCAGGTTATTCTTCCAAACCCTTGTAAAAGCCGATAAAGCACTATGCTAGTACTAGTTCTTTTCAACGCGGTCTTACGCCATTAACACTATATATGTTAATTCGTTTCAGACCGGGTTAAGCGCTATTAACCAATATGGCTAATTTGTAAAGACCTCTGAAGAAACCTTGCGCTGTCTGGTTTTTGGAGTTTCCCTGGGCATCAAAATCGGCCAAAAGCCTTCTATACAATGGTCTTTGGGCCCAAAAGCCTTAATGTATGAGTCCTTAGATGCCTAGGGTTTGGGGGTCTTGGTGCTGCCGGATCCGATAGCTTAAGGGTCCCTTAAGGGCTCCTTTGAGCGTTATTTGGAGGTTCATGGGTAGTTATACTAGAAAGGTCATTGTAAGGGTTCCAGAGTCGGTTATAGGGTTGCTTTACGGGTTTCAGGGTCCTTTTACCAAGTATCATTCCGGTTTATACTTATACGGTATTTTGGGGGTCTAATTATATACCAGAATGATACTTGGACCCTTATGGCATCGGGTTGGGGGTTTAGGGTTCAGGGGTCAGGAGTTCGTTTAGGGTTTAGAGGGTACGCAAAACAATGAATCCAAATCTGCTTAGCTGAATCGATGGTTGAGGCCCTGCCGTCCAAATGCCCAAATCGTGAAAGGATATTTCAGTTGTTTTAGTTTGTATAGGGGATCGATATCTGTACCTAGGGTTACCAAGGGCTCTATAAGCGTCTAGAGCACTGAAAGGCAAGGCTGTAGGTACATTCCTGTAGAACCAAAACCCCGGCTATTTCTACACTCCCGCCGACCTCGCCACCCTCGCACACTCAACCCTGTGAAAAGAGCGGTACTTTTGGGGGGTTCTGATAAGGTCCCGAAAATAAGGATCCTACGGTTCTACCCCAAAGTAGCCTCTTTTCCTGAGGACCATAGGGGAGCTCCAAGAACTGAACACCACCTCAGCCGATCCCGTGGGGAGTAACAGTGAGAATGCTGAGCCCTTACTCCTAAACCCGACCCGGACCCTCGCACCAAAGGCGTTAGGATCATGAAAGTAAGGCAACCCGCCACAAGAATATCTAATCCTAAGTGCAAAGCTCTATAAATCCTAAAAAGGCCTGCCCTAAACCTTGAATGCAAGCGAAGCTTGAAATCCAGACTCTCCCAACCCAGGTGGGCATTGATGCTCGCTGGTGTGCTGGGCACCGTGTGCGTCAGCTACGTCAAGAGTGCCGCACAGGACTTCCTCAAGAGACCACTTCCTGCTTGGAGGATCATGGGACCTAGTAAGTATAAGGTTTATAAGTACCCTGACTCGGGTTATGTGCAATTATCAGAATAGTTACCTTATCTGTAGCCTTTCGTTTTGAAGTCCCATGATCACGCACGTAGAGTCTCCATTGTAGTTCCTTTTTGTGGGTTTACCTTGTGGGATCCTAACCCCCGAAACTCTAAACTTCCTAAACCCTAAGCCCTAAAGAATGGTTAAACCAATGAACGGAAGTACAGCAGAGACTACCTAGACCCCCCAACTACCCTCTAATATACCCCAAATACCTACCATTAAGGGCTATTAGGGCTCCATTAAAGGGCCATTGGGGGGTCCTGGTATAGGTTGAACTAAAACGATCTCACAAGTAAGGTTTGCTGGAAACCTGTCTAGGGATCTGATGGAGTTTAGGGCTTCCGGGTTTAGGGTTTAGGGTTTAGGGGTTAGGGTTTAGGGTTTAGGGTTTAGGGCTTCCGGGTTTACATTTTCGGATCCAGTGTAGGGTTAGGTTTTTGTAGGGGCCCTTTTCCCCCCAATGTTGTGTGATGTTGATTCCTGAATACTTACCAGCACTACTTCTTAGGCCTCCTCAATATACTTGTCACTTGAAATATCATATACCCCGAAACTCACGTTACTTCACTTAGTAAGGCCATTGCTATTTCAGATGGCCTCTGAATGAGGATGTGGACTCTGCGGAATTCTCGCCTCTGGGTCTCTTCTGCGCGGTGCTGAGCATTTGCGCTGGGGCACTGAACATGGCTTCTTGGCTCATGTCGAAGGGTTCTCTGAGGGTTCTAGGGGGCTACTTCTTGAGGGTTCTACAGGGTCAGAGTTGCCTTTTCAAGGATTCTTCAAGATTTTGGATCGGGGCTTCTTGCGTACTTGCCGAGTTTGCCTCAGGAATAATTCGCATTTCGATTATACGTTTATGTGCCCACGGGATTGTCTAAGAGCAGACCACTCTTACAACACGTAAACCCTAAACCCCAAACACTAAACTCGAAGCCCCACACCCTAGACCCTAGACCCCAAGCCCTAAACCGAATCCTCTCAACAGGCTTTATGAACCCTAAAACCGAAATACTAAGAACCCTCATAAACCCAATTATTTCAATCTGGAGGCTGTAAACACCTCGGACCCTGAACCCTTGTGAGCACCTTGTGTGCGGAGCTCGTAAATGCAGCCCAAAGCACTTGCGTAATCCCTGCTATATGTATGCATACATGCATGTGTATGTATGTATATATATATATATACACACACACATTCATATAGAGATATGTAGAGGAACTCGTGCATACAAGTCTACACAACTACACCGCGTTTCATGTATTGTTATTGTGCTGTTTACTTTGTGTTTAACTGGTGTCTCTGCATTAATGAATTATGTGGACGAAGTATGTTCATTGTTGTTAGGTTTTGTTCACTGTCGTTGGATCTTTTATGCCGTTCCCTTGTTTGTGTGTTTTACATATTCGTTTAGTATCCCTCATGTTGTGGATTCGCAAGCGTCCAAAAGAGCAATCTCCCAGTGTCCCGCTTTGCATATGTATGCTATGGGTGTATGTATGTATGCATGTATGTATGTATGCATGCATGTATGTATGTAAGTATACATCTATATATATATATATATATATACACACATGTACTTTGCATATACGTAATTGAAAGCCTTTAACATCCTCCTGAAGCCTTATAGAATCCTTGCAGAAACCTTGTACAGAACATGCAAAACGGTTTGCAAGACGATTAAACAGCCCGATCAAGCCGCTCTGAAAGCAGAGGTACTCGCCGGTGTTCTGGGGACAGGCATCAAGCTGAATCCTTTGGATAGCAACTTTCCATGCATTATAGCATCTGCAGATTGGCAGCTGTGTGATTGCTGTGGGGCCTACGCGAGATGGTTCTCTGCGCTGAGGTTGCTGTTTAAGGATCAGCAGTAAAGCGTGTCACCATTCTACACAGGAAAGAAGGAAATTAGCACCGATCATGTGCAGATCAATCACAAGATACCCATAGCAGCTGGCACTGAAGACCACTGTTTAACGCTGTAATTACTCATTCACATGTCATACACGAACAGATAGGTGAATAGACGCATGACGCTGCATGCGTCAATGAGTACCACCGCCGCCGCCACCACCACCACCACCGCCGCCGCCGCCACCACCACCACCACCACCGCCGCCGGCGCCGCCACCACCCCCACCACCACCACCACCACCACCACCACCACCACCACCACCACCACCACCACCACCACCACCACCACGACCACCACGACCACCACGACCACCACCACCACCACCACCACCACCACCACCACCACCACCACCACCACCACCACCACCACCACCACCACCACCACCCACCACCACCACCACCACCACCACCACCACCACCACCACCACCACCACCACCACCACCACCACCACCACCACCACCACCACCACCACCACCACCACACCACCACCACCACCACCACCACCACCACCACCACCACCACCACCACCACCACCACCACCACCACCACCACCACCACCACCACCACCACCACCACCACCACCACCACCACCACCCCCACCACCACCACCACCACCCCCGCCACCACCACCACCACCACCACCACCACCACCACCACCACCACCACCACCACCACCACCACCACCACCACCACCACCACCACCACCACCACCACCACCACCACCACCACCACCACCACCACCACCACCACCCCCACCACCACCACCGCCACCACCACCACCACCACCACCACCACCACCACCACCACCACCACCACCACCACCACCACCAGAACAACAGGAACAACAGGAACAGCAACAATATCAACAACAGCAGCCACAGCAGTATCAACAGCATTGTTCTCCCTACTATGGGTATTGGGTAGTTTATACGCCTGGAAGTTGGTTGGTTGGTTAGATCACATAACGGTCAAGCCAACCACCGCAAGGTCTTTGAATTTTAAAATCCTTGGAAGCCTGCAACACAGAACGCACTCCTAAACCCTACCCTGATGCCTAAACCCTCAAACCCTAAACCCAACAACCCAAAGCTTTCAGGCACATTTTACATGGCCGTGCCGGCGGGGCTGATAATGTGCTGTGGCCGTGAGACAGGAAGGTAGACACTAGGGTTAATTACATGTTTAAGATTTAGGGTTAGATGTTTCAGCTTTTAGGATACACCGTAAGCTCTGTAGACCCTACAAGTTCCGCACCATAGTCCCTACTCTTGAAGGTTTGTGCGTGTAGCGCTTAGGGGTCTGGTGTTTCTGATTCAGGGGCGCATGGTTAGAACGACATTGGGTGTAGCTCTGGGGCACCAGAAGCCCTAAAACTACTCGCCCGGCATCAAGGAGACCATCACTAGTTTGAAGCATTCCTGCTGAGTTAAAGGCTGTACCAAAAGCCTACTTAGCTATCTGCTTTGGTAGGGCAGCTGCAAGCAAGCTCGTATTTTTAGGAATATTCGGGCAAAAGACAAATAGCTAATAATTGCCAGCTGGGCTTGGATTATTTGAGTTTGTACCTCTCAAACGTAGGTTCTTCTCCGCATGCCCAAGCTTGTTCGGGGTTTAAACCATTAGTCCGAGTGGGGTTAAGGACCCTAAACCCTAAACCTCTAAACCCTAAACCCTAGGGGGTTTACGGGTTTAAAGGGAACTCCAGAAAGTTGGAATATGGATTAATGGTAGGATCCCCTATAATTTACCTTAAAGGGGTTACGATAATGATATTCCAACTTTCTGGCTTCTACTGTAGGGGGTTTACGGGTTTAGGGTTTGAGTTCAGGGCGGGGTTGACGGTTGTCCATTGGCCGCATTCTGCGGTTCAGATTTTGGTGCTTTGCGACTAGAAACATATGATACTCGTGAGCCACAGCAACCTATACGGTAGGTTATGGTCTTCAGGTGTCTTCAGCAGGTAATTAAGCGAAATACACGTGTGTGTATATGTGCAGGCATATGCACATATATTATACACATGTGTATGTATATGGTTTGTGTATCTGTGCATGCACAACACTGTCAACCTATTAGCCACCCAGCCACGTCGCTCCAAGGAGGTTATCGTGAATGCCCCCCCCGCCTCCCCCCCAACAAAAAAAAGCGAAAGCAGAACGCAGCCGCTAAGGCCTCACTTCCTAATGACAACAGGCCGAAACGCCTACAACACTCACACCCCAAGAAACCAACTGATACACGGAAATAGTCTGCAATGATGGCCTATGATGTCTTTGTATAATATAGGGTCAGTGTTTAGGAGCTTTGGATTCGGGACTTATGAGCTGAAACTACCAAACAAGAGGGTCATCAACTATGCAGCCGTCATTGACTCTCAACTTGAACTCGCCCAAGACCTATCTTTGGTGACGATGTAATCTACCCTGAAGGCGACAGCTCTCTTGACCCTCAGCAAGCCTGAGCTCTGAAATCCTTCACATCGGCCTTGAGGATCTTGTTTTCTTTCGTTGAGCACCCGGTCCATTCTTGGCGAGACTTCCCCGCCGTGACTGACTGGGCGATCGTCCAAGAAGTCGTCTCCCGATATCCTTGGGCGATGTGCCTCAGCAAAGCGATTTCTTTGCAGTCTGTGTTTCTCTGCGGTGGTTACAGTAGGGGTAATTCGGAAGATACGCCGAATCCCTTTTAAACTCCCTATACGGAGCAGACTATACCCAGAGGGTCCAAGTACTCCCTATTATAGAACTTCAAGGCCTTTTTAGGTATCAACAACCATACATAAGGACTACTTGGACCCTTAGGGATACATTACACTCGAAGTCTACGCTGTAAATCATAGCCTGCTTGAGACTCCAAAAACCCTTAATTCGGCAATTTACTTTAAATCATACAGTAGAAGCCCAAAACTTGGAAACCCCAGAGCCTCCATCCTTAAGAGTACTGTATTTGGGAATCCCAGCAGTATTTGGCTTTAATCCAGTTTCCAACTTTATGGGGTTTACTGTAATTATCAGGGATCCGAATTCTAGTTTAAGGTACATTCCTTAAGTAAGGGGTGTGGGAGTCTCTGGGTACTTGGCTCATCGTGAATCATGGGGCTCAGCAAGTCAAGCCTGTTGTAGGTCCCGATGTAATCGCGATGACGGCTCTTAGGTAACCCTGTACATAAGGGCTAGGGGGGTTCGGGATTTTGGGGTTTAGGGTTTAGGCACTTGGGTAGAGGATATTCCACCCTAAGAAAAGACGCATCCCGAAGCATTGCCACTCCTACATGCCCTCAGCCTTAAACGAAGAGAATCCCTTAGGTTGTTTCCTGCAGGCAGAACCCACAGTTGGGGATGGTCTGTCTTGTCGTGTGCTGGCCTGGGTGCGTTTTAAAGACGTAGTAGTAGATTAGGCAACCTTTAACTTGTCTAGGGCAAAATAGTCCCTATATAGTCCCTATATAACCAAAAGGGTTAAACTTTATTTCCCCATGATACCCGACAAGTAGGAAGAGTAACCCTGAACTCTGAGCAAAGAAGTGCGGTGCTCTTCAACTTCGGAGCCCACGGGGCTCTAAACTCCTTGAAAAGCTTCTAGTCTCCATTGTAGTTCCATTTTATTTGCAATGACGATATAGGATCCTAACTGTTAAAATGGTTAAGCCAATAAAAGGAATTACAATGGAGACTAGAGGTACCTAAGCCCCAGAAGTAAGTAAAGCAATGGCCCAAACCCATAAAGGGCCACTATTCTACATAGTTTTGGGGTCCAGGTAAACCCTAAACCCTGAAACCCTAAAACCCTGAACCGCATACCCTAAACCCCAAACCCTAAACCCTTAACCCTCGCAAAGCTTTCAAAGGCTCCCGGTGGTCATCTCTGGTGTCTTCGCCTTCGTGTACAACTGCTTGCAGTACACGTTAGTGCAGCTGTGGCTTTCAATGAGCACTTTGGGAGTTTGGGGGCTTGGAGTCTATGGAGTTATGGGGGTGTTTGTTGTTACTTCAGGGCTGGCTTGCAGCGTTTGTAGGTTAGGTGAGGGTTTCGGGACGGTTCCAGGCATATCGGGGCTTGAGGCTTCAAGTATTCGGATTTGGGGGTTAAGGGGAATTGGGGGGGGTTTAAGTTTCAGATGTAAGCTCTAAGTATTCTGTCATCAGGTTCCTAGTGCCTGCATGGTTCCGGGGGTGTCGTGCGGGGACAAGGGGGTTTGATAGGGTCGACGTATCAGACCCCAAGTTTTAGTGCAGCAACCCTTAATCCGAATGTCATATGTTCTTGGGACTTACTGGGGTTCCGGTTAAGAGACGTGATGCTCGAAGTGCTGTCTTACAAGAAGGGTACCTCTACCCTAGGGACGTTGAGTTACACAGAACCTCCCATTATCTTGCTTTAGAATGAAGTCTTGTTCCTTTTTATTAGTTTTTAAGCTTAGAAAGCACACAGGTGCTTTTGTTTTTCACTCGCACAGAGACACACACACACACTCTCTCAGTGTTTTTGTCCAACTCATTACATATTATATACATACATACACACATACATACCCACATACCTACATATCTACCTACATATACCTACATACCTAGCTACCTGCGTACCTACGCACACGCACATGTATACAACATACACATGTACGTATGCATATGCATACACATACACACAATATTCATATACATACACATACATACACATACATACATACATACATACTAACAGACATATATGTATATTTTAATAGAACTCAACATAACCACTAAAATATAATAAAATATGCTTTGCTACATAATGTAATGTACTGTGCAAACTATAACCTGAAGTGTTGAAGTATATGGTACGGTTTCATATGACACAGCATGGTTCGACGTGGCATGGCTTAATACCAAACTCATACAGACTGATATCAAAAAATACGCTTGACTTTAACAAAGCATAACCAATTCATGACATAACATCACATAATATGAATTTTGCAGATACAGTCAGATAAGACAATATACTAAAATCTACCAAGATTTGCACACCGTTTCGGATGCATAGATATATCTTGCTTATGTGCTTCAAACACGAGACGGTTCAGGCAACAGCTGTCCGCAACGCACGCCGCCTTCGCAGGAAGTCTTTTGCCTTGCCGAGAGCACGATTGTGAGGTTTAGTTACTTTCTCAAAGAGTCCAAGTATCATTCTGGTGTACACTTGTAGGGTATTTTTGGGGGGTCTAAGTATATACCATAATGATACTTGGACCCTTTGGGTTTTTCCGAATAGGGTAGTTTGGAGGGCATGTACTTGGCAAGTTGGACTACCAGTAGAAGTAGTTAGAAGTGCGATTGTTGGTGTATGTCAGGATTCTAACCTACGTACGTGACCCAGCCCTATTTTATGGAGGAAGGATCTACTCATCTGCTCTGCCGAATCTCTTGTATTTCTCATTGTCTCTCTATTTCTGTCTTTCTCTGTCGCTTTGTGGGTGTATTCACGCTCGTGCTGTTGCTATGTTGTTCAGACTGTTGTTCCGATGTCTCGAGATGCCTCCCCTGAAATGCTAGGGGTGGGTACAGAGTTGTTGTCTAACATGTTGTATGGGATACCAGTGAACCTAGAATCAGCTCGATCTGTTCCCTGTTCAGAGTCCCTACACTTTGTCAGAGGAGGCGAAAGAAAAAGGGACGAAAATGGCTACAAAAGACCCTCACCGTTGAAGGTTACTTGCTATCGGTGCCCCAATTTTAAGCCCTAACTGGCCCTAACTGTTACCGAATGTTTGAATTTGCAATGTACAGCAGCACATGCTATCATACCTCATTGGTCCAAGTACGTACCTAATAATCACATGCTCCCCAAAACCCTGACCTACGTAACTACTATCCTAGAACCGAATACCTAATTACTGGGTCCTCGGGACCCTTGGGGTACCCTTATAGAACTCTTAAAGAACCCTTGGGGACCCTTATAGTACCCTCATAGGATTCTTAAAGGACCCTTCATTGGGCCCTTTGGATCCTTAGGGATACCTCGAGTGCCTGTTCTGTTCTGTTTGTTCCGGCTCCTTCTCTCGAAGAGGAGTGGCACAACGTAGGATACTATTGTGGGGGCTCCGTAGTATAAATAACCGTAGAATGGGCCGCAAAACCCTAGTCCAATTTATAAGGCATCCATATGTATTCTATAGATCCTTGGAAGGAACCCTATACCCCTATAGAATCCCTATAGATCCCTTTTAAGGACCCCTTTAGAGAGGTCTTTCAGTGGGCTCACGCCAGCTTCTCAAGCTGTGTCTTGTCGGTCAATTTCACGGGCAGGGTGCACAAGAGCTCCAATTAATTCGCTGAGTTGTTGCAGCTGTGTCTACCTTAAACGGCCCCTTAAAGAAGCCTTAACCCTAAACCAGAAACCCTAAACCCTAAATAGACCCTAAACCAAAGCCCTTAAAGTACTGTTCGTCAGCGCTTCGGGTTTAGTGCCGTGTACGGTTTGAGGTTTTCGGGCCCAGGCTAACGCTTACGGTCCATTTTGATTACCTCCGGTACATGTCTGGATACTCTGTGGGCTCACTAACACGACTTCACCTAAATTGTATATAAGATTGTATAAAGCATAGCAAAGCCTTCCAGAAGGGCCTTCTCACCAAACCGATGATGCTGCGTCAAGTGGTCCCGGTTTAGGGTTTAGTATTTCAACTTAGCGTTTAGGTTTTTGGTACTTAAACTTTGAGTTCAGGGTTTAGGTTTTAGCACTTCAAACAATGGGTTTCGTCAGGTTTCAACATGGCCGCGACCATTGCTTTCTCCCTGTGTCTCGGCTACGAGCAAATTCCAGATGGATGGCACGGGCACCTGTTTCTGCTTGCCATTGCTGGCAACATTGGAGCATTCACTGCCTTCAACGTGCTCAGGAATAGTGGTAAATGAACCAAGAGAGCCCAATGCCTGATAATTGACAATTTGAGCGATATACAGTAAACTGTAAACTACATCGAGTTGCTCTGTCGAGGCGAATTGGGCTATCCAGGAAATGGGAGTGCAGCCAAAGTTGCTGTAGCCCGAGATTGTCGTAGCTCGGTGAGTGTCGCTCTCCTGCCCTCTGCCGTGGCTACTCAAGGAAAAAGCAACTTCAACCAAGAGAAGCCAGGGAAGCTCCTAAGCCCGAAACGAGAAGTACTGGATCAACACAGGAGTCTTCATAAGGTACTTATGTCATAGGGCTTATAGGGTTCTTACATAATGAGTATCGAATAGCTTTATGTGGATACAAACCTATGAGTATTGGATTGCACTCCCCGCGAAACTCGTAACCCCCCCCAATCTGAAAGTAAGCCCTCAACCACTTCTACACCATGTAAACCCTCAGCCGGAATCCACCTCCGGCTTCTGCGCTGTAGCCGTCGGGAGAAGCTTAAGCATAAAGTTCTAAATCTGAACGTAAAACTAGGGGTTCTTACCTTTGCCGGGGGGATCGAAAACATCTCGCTGTTGCTTTAAGGTTCAATCATAGCTTCAATATACCGTAATGTCAGTGGGCCCGAAGCGGGTCAAAATTTAGTGTTTTGGTTCTGTTCCCCCTTACATAAACCCACCAACCCCACACCCTAAACCCAATTGAGGAATTGGGGGGTTTAGGGTTTAGGGCCCCGCGGCCGGCAGCTAAGACCCGACAGGCAGGTCTTCAATATAGTAAGGGGCCTTCACTGTGTTAATCGGGTTTCGAGGTGTGCCGGGGGGGTATAGTATGATAGTAAGAAATCGTTCATCTTGAATTAATGTTGTTAGATATTGTCCGGGCTTCTGTATTTGTTGCAAAGAAAGCAATGCAAGACCCAAACTGAGATGCTTTTGCAGGTAGCAGGACACCCCAAAGACACACACCCAGCAAGATTCCCTCATGAAGCATGCATAAGAACACACATGTAAAATCCGAAGCCCGAAGCACTAAAATCCACACCTTGATTGACAGTGTGCTTGGGGAAAGGCTGTTGATGGGGTGTTCAGAAGACTCGCCATAAACCATAGTCACCATAGCCAGTTCAGCTAGAAAGCCCATCCCAGAACTCTAGACTTTAAACCCCAGACCAGCCATAAAGTCATAAAGCCACACAGCCCGAACCCGTCCGACTCTCGAGCGGGTTTCGGGCCTCAACGATTCTCCATGCATGCTTGACGATCTAGGGTCGGTATGATCAAGCGTTAGGTCTGTCGGGATTCGGGCTTGGGGTTCAAGATTCAGGTTTGCCCCTGACCCCCAGACCCCTAAACCCTAAATCCCAAACCCTAAGCCGCTTGTAACCCCAAGTAAACCCCTAAACCATACATAAACCCTAAACCCTGTCTGGTAGGTCGGGGACACTGCCTGGCTATTAGATGGACCAGAGGCCAAGCGAAGGGTTTTTTCGGGGTTGGTGTCACGCATATCGCCGTTGTCCTGAACGGGCTTCCCAACGTAAAGAGTGCTAACCTAGTAGTAGAGTAGGCAACCTTTAACCTTTCTTGGGTAGTATAGTCCCTATATAAATCCCTATATAACCAAAAGGTTAACCTTTAGTTCCCCATGATGCCCGACAAGTAGGCTAAGTACCTACATCGTAGACTGTAGGCTTTCCAGATTCGGAATCACTACTATGGTTTGGGGAAGTATCCCCCATAACAGTGCCTGAGACTCTGTGGGCAATTCTCCTGTGTTCATATAAGTCTTGTAAGCACTTGTTGGTCAAATTTGTTTCTATCTATAGGTTCTCGGACCCAGTAAGGTGTGGTGTGTAGAGGATCAGCTGAAACCTGAACCCTGAACCGGCGGTTTCTGGCTTGCAATATTGTGAGGCTTCAATGGTAAACTGTCATACGGACTGGGTAGGTAGCCTTCAACCTTTTGCGGTATATGAATTTCTACCATATTGAGAAGTGAACCCTGTTTGGGCTAGGTTTCTCAGCCCCCAGCCTACTCGTGTTTTATTTTTGGGTCCTTTATGAAACCCGGAAACCAAAATGCCACGGTAGAGATGTTGCAGTGTTGCTCGAGTTGGAACGTTTAATGCACAAAACCCGCATGAGTTACATAACTGTTCTTCAAGGGTTTTGAACAGGCTCGTTGGCTCGGATTTCCTCCCCCCAAACCCTAAACCCTAAACCCTATACTCTTTGATCTTACCAAAGCCCCTCGAGACACAGAGCGACACCCGCCTTCAAGTGTGCTGAAATCCCTCAACGTACGTAGCAACCCCGGATGTTATACATACAGTAGGGGAAGACGGTGAATCAGCAATGCTGTTCCGTGAGGCTCCTTGGTATACTACACCAGAAAAGTATACCGAGGACTCATTCTAGACGACTGGAGATCTTTGTAGAACCCTTGCCGAAACCGTGAACCCTAAACCCTATCAAAATTTGTATCCATATCTATATCTACATCTATCTCTAAATCTGTATCTATAACCATATCTATATCTATACCCGTACCATGTATACATATATATATATATATACATTTCATCCATATCCTTATCTATGTCCATGTCTATATCTCTATCTCTATTATGCGTCTATCTGCACCTTTATCTGTTCTAAATCCTTGTCTATGTCCGTATCTATGTCTATATCTATGTGCCCTAAACCTTGCCGCCGGAACCGTGCCAAGACTGCACCCGATCTTTAGGGTAATAGTATAGAAGTTATGGCTTTAGGGTTTTTATGGGTTTTGAACTCAGGGTTTCAGGCTTTCTGGGTTGATAGTGTATCAGAAGGCTTAGGAGGGTTTTTTGGTGAAGTTTCACAGTTTTGTTTTTTTTTAGATGGCGTCCTTTAAGGGTTCGTTTGGGGGTTTGGGGTGTAGGGCCTAGGAGTGAAGGTCGATTGCGAGACAGGATTTTGGATTTAGGGTTTAATGTTTAGGGGTTGAGGTTTGAGGTCGATGGATTGAAAGGCCGAGGTAATCAAGTTTTCCGCATTTAGGCTTGTGGGTTTTTAGGGTTTAGGATCTTTTGGGCGTTTATTGTTGCTGGGTTCAGGCCTTCTTCCGGCCCTTCACGGAGTTGAACTATGTCACCCAAGCACCTTGGCCGGGCAAGATTTGAGTTTAGGGGTTCGGCTTGGCGGCAGTAAGGTTCTTTGAGAGGCGCCCGCTTTCGTAAACGCCTCCTTTCGTAAGTTTCATTGCCGGTAGCCTGCTTTTTGTTTAAGGCATTTGCACACACGGTGCATATCAATCGGCTGTCTAGATTTTCCTAAACCCAGCCCTTGTAATACAATTATGGAACCCGAGTTTACATTGTGAGGATGTACTCTATACGCCAACAAAAACTCCTAAACCCAGAGAGAAAGGTAGGTGCGCAGCTTCACTTCAGTCTTCTTGCAACGAGTTTTGAGGTGTGGGGTTCAGGCTAATCTAGCCCAACATAGTACTAAGAGGCAGGCAAATGTGGGGATCAGAGTACTTTCTACTTAGAAATATCCCCCTAGGTTTTCCATATGTATGTATGTATATATACACATACATGATCATATGTCTAGTGTACTCCCCAATGCCAAACCGGTATTACAGCGTAAAGCTCTTGTAGGATCGTCGTAGGGTTTACCCGTAGCCCCAAACCTTGCAAAATTGCAGGCTATGACCCTTTACTATTTTTCTAAGGTGCAACCCTTAAAACAATAAGGTCCTGGAGCCCCAAGTACCGTTTTCCAGCGCTTTCTGCAACTCGTAGCTATTGCAAATGTGTGCCAACAGAATGGACCTACATCCTATACCCCAACCCAATTTGGTTTAGAGTTTAGGTGGTTATTGTCTACGGGCTCAGGGTTTCGCGGTTTAAGGTTTAGGGGTGTAGGATTTTAGGGTTTAGGGGTTTAGGCAAGATCGGCTGACACGGTTTGACCCTTGAAAGCTAAACCCTGTATCTGCAGCACCAAGTGCAAGGCCCTACACCGAATGATTTGCCCATGCGAGAATGCCGTTTCAAAACTTCCCCACCAAGATCATGGCAGTAAGTACCGAATGGAGTGAACAGCCTTGGCCAAAGTCCCATCATTGATCTGGCGGTATAGTCTGATTTGGGATGTTGCAGGACTTCCACTTTGTTTATTCGTTGAGTATTAAGCCACATTCCCCTTCGGTTGCTTCTAAGATTTTCCGCTAAGAGCGGATTGAAGCTACAGCGTGGTAAGTAGTTAAACGCGTTCGTGTTGGCAATCTTGGTGGTCAGCAGTAGTGCCTTAACCTACTAAAACCTACGTTTTTGTAGGTCCTTATTATACACCCTTATTTGGAACGTATGGGGACCCCCTACAAAACAGTATATTTTGGTGGGTTACGGTAGGTCGATAGAGATCACTGGTAAAATCGCAACATACAGGCCCGGCGTGCATGCCTCCAGATACCTTTTCGGTGCTGAACGGCTCGAACAAATTCTCAAAAGCTTCACATGGATAGAGTCTTGTGAAAACCTCTAAACTTTAAAGTCTAATACCCACCCAAAGGTTAAAGGCCATGGTTGCCATACAACCCAATGAAATTCTGAAAATCCTATGAGACTTTGTAAAACCCTTGAGAACCGCTGACATATCTGTACAACCTTGTATAACCTCAGGGCTCCAGCTACCTAATTAGTAGGTTACGAGCAATGGACAATAGACTATGTACCCCAGAAGCATATCTGTTAGGAAACTGGAGTGCTAGGGAATCTCGAGAGTCACCGGTGACGAGGAGAAGAGCCGCCTGCTGCTACTCCAGCGACTGCTCTGCGACGAAGGAACGCATGGCACTCAGAGAAAGGGTTCAGGATTGGGAGGTTAGGGCTATTGTTCTGTCGTAGTGGCATTAGTTATTCGGTCGTTATGTAAGCAGCAAAGTAAGTCAGTCAGTAAGAAGGTAAGTTATGTAGGCAGGTAGTAGCAGTGGTAAAGGCAAAGTACTGTCAGTCGTGGTT